ACTTGCAACCCTACATAGAAATCCAGTGGCTCACGCTCTGCCCCAGAACTGCATGGATCTGAAACCTCACAATTCTTCTCAGATCTCCTGAAGGGCCAGACCCCGGGTGCCCCACTTTCCCACCAGCTGCTTCCTGGCGCTGCTCCCTGGCGCTGCTCCCTTCACTCTGTCCCACTTCATGTGACTGTGGATCTGCCCTGCCCCTTCTCCCTCATCCCCCAGATTTCCAGCCTCATAGGCTGTGGTGTGTGACCCACTTTTACCAACCTTGTGGGGAGGATGGAGAGCATTTGGCCACTTGACTCAGAGCTGGAAGCACACCTTATGTCAACTCTCAGCATTGGCCCTGAATTCTGTCACTGTGCCCCACATGGGTCATCCTCATTGGCCAGCATAGACACCCAGCTCCTTCCTCCACTTTTCCAGATCTCAGCCCCCTCCTTCGAGCCCCCAGCAAATGACACACAAATCCCTCTTTCTTTATTATTCAGAATCCAGCGTTCTTTCTCACTTCTCTCTGATCATGATTATTTCAGGGTGATGAGGTAGAAATTCCCTTTCACCATCAAAAAAGTCCTCTTAAAGCCAGACTCCTGGGGTTCTATTTCTGCCTTCTGACTTGCTAGCTGTGTGACCTCAGGAAAGTTACTTAACTTCTCTGTCTCATTTTCTTCATCTCTAAAAAATGAGATACTAAAAGGATTATCACAGGATTGCTGTGAGAATTGAGAGTTAATACATATAGGAATGTCTAGAGCAGTGCATGACAGAGTGAGCACTAAATATGTGTTTAATACTATAACTGCTACATTTCATCAATTCTAAGGTGTACCTTTTGTCTCATTTTAATGTTTCTTACAACTGTGGTATTTTACAGCAGCTGGAAGTGGTTGTTTCTACCTGTGCAGACTTAAGCTTGGCCAGGTGAGTTCCATGCCTTCTCACTCCTACATCTGCCCAGTTTAATTACCATTTAAAATGTTCAAAATGGCAGTATGGAAGATCCTCAAAAAATTAAAAATAGAGCTACCGTATTGTCTTGCCAGTGGGTTTCAGCCCCGGCCAAGTTCCCTATGGATTCAATGTGACCAAAGAAATTGATGGCAAAACATTCTTGGGGTGAAAGGGTTTTACCCAACTTTATTTCCAGGTGGCAGGTCAGTCACTAAAATCCCATTCACTCAGAGTGAGTCTGCGTGCAGCAAGCCGATCTCTGCCTCTGGGCCCCTCTGTCTGCACAGCCATCCTCTGGGCCCCTCTGTATGCACAGCTGTCCTCTGGGCCTCTCTGCCTGCACAGCTGTCCCACACAGCCATCCTCTGGGCCTCTCTGCACAGTCATCCCACACAGCCGTCCTTTGGGCCTCTCTGTACAGTCGTCCCACACAGCCATCCTCTGGGCCTCTGTCCTTGGCGTTGCCACCACTCCAGCCTCTGCTCTGCTCTCCTGCAGCCTTGCAGCCCTGCCACAGTGTCACGCACAGAGCCCTGGGCAGAGCTCTTTATATAGAGTCAACAGCCATGTATTGCCCACAGGTGTGCAGTGAGCTAGTCAACCAGGGCCAAGTGAGAATCCTGGCCACAGGAACTCTCATTTTATCCACACGTATGATCCAGCAATTCCACTTCTGGGAATACATCCAAAGGAAATGAAAATACTAGCTCAAAAAGTTATCTGCACCCGTATGTTCACTGCAGCATTATTCACAATAGCCAAGACACAGAAGCAACCTAAATGTCTATCTGTGGATGAATAGATAAAGAAGTCATGGTAGAGATTAGACAATGGAATATTATTCAGCCATAAAAAATAAAGGATTCTTATCATTTTCAAGAACATGAATAGATCTTGAAGGTATTATGCTAAATGAAACAAGTCAGAGGAAAAGAAATGCTGTATGATCTCATTTATATATGTGGAATCAAAAAAACAGAATATCAAACTCAGAAAAAGAGATCAGACTTGTGGTTACCAGAGGGGAAGGGGAATTGGAGGAAGGTCAAAAGGAACAGATTTCCAGTTATAAGATAAAAAAAGTACTAGGGATGTAATATACAGCATGGTGACTACAGCTGACACTGCTGTATGATACATAGGCAAGGTGTTAAGAGGGTAAATCCTGAGAGTTCTCATCACAAGGAGAAACTTTTTCTCTTATTGTATCTATATGAGAAGATGGCTGTTAGCTGAGCCGATTGTGGCCATCATTTCACAGTATATGAAAAATCAAGCCATCCTGCTGTGTGTCTCAAGTTTATGTAGTGATGTATGTCAATTATTTCTAAATAAAACTTGGGGGAAAAGTTTACACTGTGGTTTAGGAGTTGAACTAAGTTACTGTGTATGCAGAAAGACATGGAACTGAGGAGCACCACAAAAATTTGACATTTAGTGAAGCGAGTAGTTATCATTGAAGAATGACCACAGTTCCATATTTACTTGCAAAACAACAGCCAAGTGTTTTGTGGGATCTAAGAAGAGTCCCACAAGTAGATGAAACTATGTTATGTTTTATTACTGAGAAAAGGGCAAAAAAATTGCCAGTCAGACCCATGACAAAGCTACAGGAGTATCTGAGATTTGGGAAGATATTCTGAAAACAGCAGTGGACAGTCTTGTAAGAATGGCACATCACTACACTCCTGACAGCACAGAGGGTGATACTGTGTAGAAAAATATCAGGAGCTCTGAATCAAAGAGGAATTTAGGAAAGCTGGACTCTGAATGTGATGAAATTTGGGGACTGTTTTAGCCAATTTGTTTTGCCAATGATTTCCTTTTTTATGCATGCACAGGAGTGATTTTGACTTTAAAAATGGATGTCTTAAATAAATCTGAAAGCCTTCCTTTAATACATACAAAACAGAAATTGTTTAAAAAAGAATTTTGGGGGTTGTTTTCCTTCACTGCTTTTAAAAGTTATTTTTAATTATGGTAAAAAACCACATAACATAAAACTTAACCATCCTGACCATTTTTAAGGACACAGTTCAATGGTATTAGGTACATTCATATTGTTGTGCAACCATTGCCACAATCCATCTCCAAGAAAGCATTTCTGCTATACTCCAATTAGTTGTGCATGATACAATTGATGGCACTTGGGACCTCATAAGACATGGCACGGTGGCCACTGCAGACAAAATGCAGCCCTTCCTGGGGAGCTCCAGCCCCCACCAGGAGCCACGGCACGAACCCCACTGGCTTAAACAGGCACACCTTCCTCCCTGGCTCAAATGGAAAACACAGCATAAGTAGGAGTCCATTCATGTTGGTGCCCTCCTCTCCTCCCAGCTCCAGGCCCAAACCAGAATGTGGGCAAGTGGCAATCTCTCTGTAGTTCATGCTCTAATCTGTAAAATGAGATACATAGGCTAGATGACCTCTAAGAGCCCACTGGTTCTAGATTTAGGGCTGTGTGACTGAATGGCCACATATACACATACACACATGTGGACTGGGGTTTAATGAGCCACAGAGAGAAGCCATGACACTTCTTCTGGGTTTATCGGCAGGTAAGAGATTTTCATTTGATGAGGTTAGGAGAGGTCCTGCCCACAATCAAGGTCCTTCTCTCTCTCAAGATCATGAACACCTTGACCAAAGAGGAGAGACGGGAAGGGGTGTGTAGTCCATCCAAGGGCACACAGCAGCACAGGGGGTTCTACTCTGCAGTTTCCAATTCCTCCCAGATTTCTATTCCTGAGGCTGTGACTTGCCCAGGGATAGGAGGCAGAGCAGGGTCCAGAAGGGTCCTCATAACTGCACTCTGTGTCTGACCTTGCCTTCAGGTCCCTGGAGAGGAAGCAGGGCTGGAGAGGCCAGGAAACAGCAGTGGAGTGGCACCTGGGGACTCCAGGACCTAAATGTCTCCTAGACCCCAGGCCAGCGCAGCACTGACAGCAGGCAGGGGCATCACCCAGATGCTGGCCTGAGTGGTCGCCGAGGCCGGAGAGTCCCTTCTCGAGCATTGCAGCCTCCCTGAGCCTGCACAGCTCACCACCCGACAGAAATGTCCTCCACCTGTGGCAGGGGTGGCTCGCTCCGAGCCCCGTGGGGGGTGCATTGAGTCCATCACAGCTTCTGAGAACCTGAACTGTTCTCTGCCTCAGAATATAAATAATGCTATTAATAATAGCTGATATTAATTGACAGCTTACCAAGGGTCAAGCACAGCTCTGAGCACTTTACATACCTGATTTCATTTAATCCAAAAACCAATCCCACATAGGTTTATTATTCTCTTTTTAAGGAGACAGACAAGAAAGGGGCAAGTCACAGAGATGGACCAGGTGATAGTGGAATGGAAGCCCCCAGCTGCCTTAGACAACCCCAGTTTGACTCCATCACCCAGGGCCAGGGTCCCAGGGCCACTGCAACCACCCCTTGCCTTCAGGCTATGGGGGCTGCCATTTGGCTGGAGTTCCAGGGAGGAGGGGAAGCCTGACAACCTATAGGTGACTGCGAGACAGCCAGCACAGAAGAGACACAAACAAATCTTTATGCTTTGGAAGGTTCACATCACAAGCCAACCAGTAGTTTTCCATCCCCTTCAAGAAGGAATAATTGGAGGTCAGACAGTAGGAAGAACTTCCCAATCACTAGATGGCGTAGCATTGACATCCTCTTTCATGGACATTGGGTGAGGTGTTGCCCCTGCATTGGCCAAAAGTTGGAGTAAGAGAGAGGGGGGTTGGCACAATTCCCTTCAGGAACCCCATCCGCAGAACTGGTGGGGGGTGGCGGGAGGTCCAGGAGCAGCAGCTTGGGGTAACTGAGGGAACAAACACGGAAAACCAGGGGACGTCAGTCCTTATCTGGAGCTCATTAATGGGGAGCGTTAGTCAGCTGTGAAGGCCTAGATGGGGTGATAGGCATGCGGGTAGGCAGGGGTGGAGAGTGGGGGCAGGAGGCAGCCATAGGGGAGCAGAGAGCCTGATCTCCACCTCCACCCCACGTGTCCAAATCGAGTATGGAATGACCCTATAAATGCCCATGGCCCAGCCTCCCCAAAGACCCTAAGACAGAGAGAAAGAGAGACAGGGACTGAGAGAGCTGCAAGTTTCCGGGTCCCGAGACCTCTGGGCCAGCCCACGGAAGGCTCGCGGCATGTGGGAACTCCGGTCCATAGCCTTCTCCAGGGCCGTGTTCGCAGAGTTCCTGGCCACACTCCTCTTCGTCTTCTTTGGCCTCGGCTCAGCCCTCAACTGGCCACAGGCCCTGCCCTCTGTGCTGCAGATTGCCATGGCCTTCGGCCTGGCTATTGGCACCCTGGTGCAGGCTCTGGGCCACATCAGCGGGGCCCACATCAATCCTGCTGTGACTGTGGCTTGCTTGGTAGGCTGCCATGTCTCCTTTCTCCGAGCTGCCTTCTACGTAGCTGCCCAGCTGCTGGGGGCCGTGGCAGGGGCTGCTCTGCTCCATGAGATCACACCACCAGACATCCGAGGGGACCTGGCTGTCAATGCAGTGAGTAGCCAGAACTCCATCTTTCCTGCAAGGGGCAGATCCTGGGGTGTCTCTGGTAAAGGATAAGAAGGAACTAGAGCTGGGAGAGAGTCTGGGTGGGGAGAGAGAGAAACAGAGAGGGACAGAGGGAGGGAGGGAGATGCCAGAGCCAGGAACACAGCTGACAGGAGTCGGCACAAGGAGCAATGAAGCCAGAGCAGGGGCAGGATCCTCATGGGCCTGCTGGTGCCTTCTGCTCTGAGCGACGTGCAGGAAGAGCAGCAGCATGGTGTCTGCTGATTCGAGGCCTGCATTACAAGGGCTGGGCAGAACTTGGCAGAGGGCAGGGCTCCCGCACAGACCTGCTTTCTGAGCTAGGAGGAACCTCGGAATGCAGGTCCCAAGGGTATTCGCCAGGGAGGAAGGACCCTCCATTTCTTCATCACCTATTGTGTACGGGCTTCATGGCAGGTCCTCCGCACAAGCCACACTCTGACCCTCACAACCGCCCTGTGAGGTATGGATGGGCATATCTGTTTCTTAAGGGGTTGGAAACTGAGGCTCAGAGAGGGCAAGCACCAGACCAGCCTTCAAAAACAGGCCTGACTACAAACCTGTGACCTTCCCACCTGATCACTGTTCTCTCCCTGAGCCATCATCTAAGCCTTGTTTTGCAAACAAGGAAACTGAGGCTCAGAGAAGGGAAGTGACAGGTGAAAAGTTCTGTAGTTTGTCAATAGCAGAGACAGCACCAGATCCCAGGGTAATGCAGAAGGGACAGGCCTCTCCAGACCGCGGAGAAGGGCCCTGGATCCCATGAGCTAACTGTTGATTATATGAACAGGGGCACCTGGGGAGCTGAGGGGGCTGCTGCAGCCCCTCCCCACCACCACATGCCACCCTCCGCCACTCCTGGGTCGTGGCAAGGCCTGGACATCTGAGGGCATGGGTGGGGACACTGAGGAGTGTGACCATTTCCATTGAGAATGACATTAATTCACTCTGCAGCAAGTAAAGGTCCAGTTAGACTGAAAGAGGGACTTCTTGAGAACATGACCAAGAAAGCCTCAGGGTGTGTGGCTGGGGAATCTCCTCTAATAGCTAGGCAATGGGAGTGCTAAGGGGCCATGGGGACCCTCAGTCCTGCTCCTCTGTCATTTCACAACTGACTGGGCCCTCAGAAGGGAAGGACCGGGGAAGCCTCCCCCAAGTTGTTGCTCGGCATTTACCATCCTGAAGAACTGGGGACAGCCCTGCCTGGGTGGAATGGGGCAGCAGTGGGGAGACTCACCCTGAGCTAGACAGAGCTACATGGCCCCCAAGGCTGTTCTGGGTGTCCTCTGAGGCCATTGGAAAGGCCAGCCTGGCCACCAGGAAGTTACCATTGAAGCATACCTGCTCTGTGCAAGGCCAGATAGCATCTCCTTTTTGGTACAACATTATAAGGTAAATTCTGTGATCCCTCTACCCTTAGTGGTAAATTGAGGCTTAGCATTCAATTGATTCAAATAACAGAATTCAAATTCCAAAAAAAGTGTCAGCACCTGGGAATGGACCCAGAGCTGTCTGACATCAAACTCATGTCCACACTCACCCCCTTAGAGCCACTATCTACCAGTGGGAATGGGGCTCTGACTCTGCCCTTGTCATTTCCAGTCCTCCAGAATCCATTCGGTCACCCCCATTTTACGGAAGGACAGATTGAGGCTGAAGTAAATAAGATGCCACGGCAGGTCAGAGGCACCCAAAGTGGCTACCTTCAAAGCTCTTTTCACTGACTCCACTAGTGCCTCTGACATTGGATGGCAGGGTGGACTAAGGTTAGACCCTAGAGAGACCCACGGGAGCCAGCCTGATGGCGAGGACCCAGGAGAAGGAGCCTGGGAGCTGAGGGCTGTCACAGCTCTGCCCCGTGTGGTACCTAGCCCCAGGGGGCAGGATGTAGGCACAGATGGCAAAATCCAGGGTTGGATGTGGCCCAGTTGTGAAATCACCTCTTTGCACTGCCCCAAGTTCTTTGTTACCTAAGACAGGGTCTGCTGGGACCACAGGCACCCCACGTGGGTGTTGAGGCATCAGAGTACAGGGCACAGTGTGCCCACCCCACCCTTCACAGGGTGTGCAGGGAGCAAATCCACAGGGCAAAACTGAGGCCATGTGGGGTGGGCAAGGTCAAGGGGAGCAGGCAAATGTCAGAGGAAAGAGTTGTTCACGGAACCCATGGAGGGTGGGCGCACACTAGGATTAACCCCAGACCCAAGTCCCTAGGCTCTGCCCCTGGGAGCCCTTTGACCATGGGAAGAAAGACCACAGGCCTCTCATTACACCACTATTTGTGGCCTAGAGAGAGAGGAAGGCCTTCCTGTTACCTGGCCTAAAACTTCCTGCTATAATCAAAACCTCTTCCTTTCTTGTCCTTCAGGAAACTGAAGTGCTGGACCTCAGCATCCTTTGCCTCTCACATTGTAGGCACACAACCCCAGCCCCCAAATCTAATGGGCTTTGAAGTCTGTTTTCCTACCTCTGGCCTGGGGACCATGAGCAGTCCTGGGGTCCATCTCTCTGCCTTTGGGCCACAATCCAGGAAGAGACTGTCAGTAGTTTAAACTAATATGGCCAGTGAGCGCAGCTGTTTGACTCCCAGCCTGGAAGTGTCTCTGGAGCTTTGACTGCGGGTGGGCAGGAAGATGGAGCCAGTGTGAGGAGCATGCTCTCAGCGTTCCTCCACCCACCTGCTCTCTGTCCCCAGCTCAGCAACAACACAACAGCTGGCCAAGCCGTTACTGTGGAGCTGTTCCTGACCCTGCAGCTGGTGTTCTGCATTTTCGCCTCTACTGATGAGCGCCGTGGAGACAACCTGGGCACTCCCGCCCTCTCCATTGGTTTCTCCGTGGTCCTGGGCCACCTCCTTGGGGTAGGTCATGGACACTGATTCCAGGCTCCCTGGAGGGACGAGACATAGAGATCTTCTCCCCCGAAAAAGACACATAGATCTCTCTAGAAACTGATACAGAGAACCCCCAAAAGTGACAGACACAAGACCCACAGAGGAACAGATGTTCAGAACTTCCAAGAGGGACAGCCACATGTACACACTTGAAGGGGCTGACTTTCAGACACCCTAAGGGGACAGATATCACTCCAGTGAACACAGAGCCCTGTAAATGTAACAAGAACTTAATTGTCCATCACATGGATTCCCTTCCGACAGAGGTCAGGCACTGGAGAGAGGCCCAGGGACTCTCCCCACTTCCTTACTTGACCGCCTCCCCCCATTGCAGATCCACTACACGGGCTGCTCCATGAATCCTGCCCGCTCCCTGGCTCCTGCCGTCGTCACCGGCAAGTTTGATGACCACTGGGTAATGGCTGAAACCTCCCTGCCTTCCCCGTCCCCAGAAACCCATCTCTGCAAGGGCTGGAATGAGTGGGGTGGAGGACACGGCAGACCCTTCACGCTCTTCCTCCTGGGGCCCTGGGGGGCTTTGGGCTCCACCCCTCAGGTCTGCTATGGAAGACTCCATTTCCACATCTGTGAGGGAGGATAACAGCATTTGCTGCCTCCTTGGAGTTTTGGAAGGATTAAGTGAAGTTACTGGTATAGGACAGATCACAGTGCGTTAGGGCTCGAAAATTGGTCATATTTGTAGTAGCTAACACATATTTTAACTATTTAGCACTTACCTAGTGCCCAAGATGTGCCAAGACTCACACTAAGAGCTTTGCGAATATCAATCCATTTAGTTGGCACAACAATTGCAGAAGTAGGTAGGACTATAATCAAAGGAAACTGAGGCAGACAGGTAAGTAATTTGCCCAAGTTCACCCAGGCCATCCGCTTGGGAAGTCGCACCCTTAACCCCCAACTGACAGTCTTCCCTAACAGCGAGTGTTGACAATACGAATTGCACGAACACGCGTTTTATTACTTTAGTCGCGTGCGGGTCTCCCTTTCACACCGAGTGCGAGTGCGGAGCGGAGCGCATCTCCAGCCAGGAAGGCGCTGTCCGGCTGGCCCCGTGCCTGCCGCCAGCCGCGCTCTCCACTCCACAGGTGTTCTGGGTCGGACCCCTGGTGGGCGCCATCCTGGGCTCGCTCCTCTACAACTACGTACTGTTCCCGTCCGCCAAGAGCCTGTCGGAGCGCATGGCTGTGCTCAAGGGGCTGGAGCCCGACGCCGACTGGGAGGAGCGCGAGGTGCGGCGGCGGCAGTCGGTGGAGCTACACTCGCCGCAGAGCCTGCCCCGCGGCAGCAAGGCCTGAGTGCCTCCCGCCCGCCCGCCCCAAAGGCCCCTGGCCCGGGCCCAGCGGGGCTCAGAGTGACTGCCTGCGACCCCAGGTCGCGTCCCAGGCTCGGGGCGCCCACCACCCCGGCCAGGCCCGACCCTCCTCTCCTCAGGGCCAAAGGTGGCCCCCAGTGCAGTAGCTGCCTCAGGACCTGCGGGCTGCTGCGGCCAGGGCTGCAGGGGTAGCAGTGAGCCTGTCCTGAGGCTGAGGCAGCAAGTTGTGGACCTCCTGGCCCCTGCAGGGGTGGGGAACTTGGAGACTGAGCTGGGGAGAGAGGGCAAGCAAGCAGGCAGAGGAAGGCTCTGGAGAGCCAGCCCAGTTACTGGGGGTAAGGGGGCCAGGGTCTGCAGACCCCCCACCTTGGAGGAGGGTGGTCTGGGAATGGTGCATCAGGTTTTGCTAGTGTGCAAGTGTGTGTTCACCCATGAGGACCTCTCTGTCCCCAGAAACAGGTGTGTCTGGGGTGGTGCAAGTGTGTACTGGCTGGCAGCCTCTCACTCTCCTCTTGACCCCTTCCTTTCTTCCTACCTGTAATAAATCCACTTCTTCTACAGTAGATGAGTCCCCACTGCCAGTCCTTCCCAGGAGCTCTAAGAGTGTGATCCCAGGAGACGGGGAGGGGAGGGTCTGGAGGCCCCTTGCAGAGGGCTGAAAGGAGGCCCTGATTTCCAACCCCTAACCTGCCCCTCCTGGAAAATTCTCTCAAGCTGCAGCACTGGGCCCCAAAACTTGCCAAGATCCATTGCTAGTAACAGAGAGGTATCAAACCAGAGACTTGCTCCTGCAGAAGGGGCCTCTGGAGAAAAGGAGGGTTGGGTGGCCAAGGACCCGCTTTCTGCCCTGAGGGAGGCCCTCTCCAAAGGAGGAAGAAGGCATGTGTATGTGCATGCCTGTAGGTGTGTGTGCATACTGTATATCTCCAGGGGGCTCCAGACCCAAAGATTAGCCTCCCCTTGTTGCAGAGAAAACAACAGCTCTTTGTGGGCCCCTGACCTTTGTCTTGGGAGAGGGGAGATTTGCAACTAGACACTTCTTGAAAGGAGACACTCAGTTTCGTAAGTGAGCCTTCTCACTCAGCGCACACCTATTGCTAGCTGGGCAAGGCACACTCAGTCACGCAACCACAGGCCCCAGGCAACACCCCACCATCACCCATCCCCAGGCAGCAGCTCTTCCCCCCAGGAATCTCTCTCCCCACCACCTCCCCTTTCTGATTCCCACCACAGTAGAGTTATTGGGGAGAGAGCAGCTTAGCACTCTCAGGACCAGAGAAAGGAAATGACTTGTCCAGGCAGAGGCACGTTTGTGTCTAGAGCCTGGGCTTCTAAATTTCCAGGCCAGTGCAATGGTTCTCAAATAACATTACCTGGGATTAAGTGAGATGATGCATGTAAAGATGCTGTGTGAACTGTATTCTTCATATCAATCATGCATTATTGGGATCATTTCATTACTTCTGCTTCCAGTAGAGAAAGGGCCTGATCCTTGGCTTCTTCTACCTCCTTTAATTGGTGGTCAGCACAAAGGAGTGCCCCAGGAACCCCGAGGTGCCGGCAGAAGGAGATGGGGTTGGCCTGGCTCCATCCCGGTCCTCTCCCCACCCCTAGGGTACCCTGGCTGTTCTCACCCTTCCTCCCTCCCACCACTCAGACCACCCATATTCTCCCTCTGCCTCCAGTCTGCTGGAGACTCACTTTGAGCCCCCTTCTGCATGCTGTCTGTTGCCTCCCTGATTTCTAGGCTTTTATCTGTGTCCATCCCACACTGTGTCAACCCACTGTACCTGGAGTCTCCACCCCATTCCTGCCCTCCACAGATGGACTGTGGATGTGGGGCATCTGTGTAATGTGCCCACCTCCTCATCTATTTCTTGACTAAAGCTCCCTTTGAAATCAGGAAAAGCCATCCCTGAGCCACAGATGCTATGGAGATGATTCTCCCAAACCACTGACAGGTGGTGACAGCCCCTGGCCTCACCACTTGGGGAAGGACTGAGTCAGAAACTGAAGTGACCTCTGGGGCTGTAGTCCTGGTAGCTGAGTGTCCTTGCTCTGAAATTTCAAAGGCAGCAAAGCATTGAGGTGTTAGCTAAGCCTTGATGTGTCCCCGGCACCTCATCCCCACCCCACCGAACCCCAACAGCTCCCTCTGGAAGTTGCCAATAATTTCTATGCCTGTTCCACTTCCTGCATTGCACTTCCCCTAAAACTAGATATGAGATCCCTACCACTTCCAATCCTGATTGCCCAGATTGGGGTCATTAAGGTCAGAAGTCAAAGCAGGATTCAAAGTGATGGGACTGGAGGGAAACTGACACCTATTGAGCATCTTTTGTGTCCCAGCTCTGTGCTGGCTGCTTTACATGCATTAGCTCACCTATTCCTCCTAAAACTTCAGGCAGGTTAGGGAAGGACAATGACCTCCCCCACTGTCAACCATGTAGGGTTTTACTATTTTCAAAGCATTCCCTTATCATCTCCTGTGATTTCTCCGAGCTTTGTGAGATAGGCTGAGCAAATATTGTTCTACCCATTTCATAGATTAAGAAACGGAAACTAAGAGACTGTCTAAAGTCACACAGCTGTGTGTGGTGGACTTGAATTCAGGTTTTCCTATTCAAAACCCCATGATCTTGCCACTCAGAACTCAGAGGAGACCAGGTATGGTCTGAGGCAAGTACTAGGCCCCTCTCGGGAGTCCCTGGCAGAAACCGAGCACACAACTGAGACTGTGAAGCCAACCTGCTGTCCTGTGGTAGACACAGACCTTGGGGATAGCCACAGCAGGGTAGGGAGAAAATGACAAAAAACGTGGGACTGATTTCTGCCCTTGTGGAGATCCCAGACTGGAGGAGGGTGGAGGGCAGACACACCCCAAACCAGACAGCGGCAAGGCAGCATAAAGGCAGGTGGACAGGCCTTCACAACCCCAAGCTGGGAACAGAGAAGGCTCTGAGCTGAGGGGTGGAGGTGGGTGACCACTGGGTCCCAGGAGCCAGTCCGACATTCCCACTTTGTGTCAGATGACTTTGCACTGCAAATGTTGCTTTGATGTCGTTTTGTATCTTTAAGCTGTGATTCTGTATGTATGCAATGCCTTCCAGCAAGACTGTCACCCCCATGGGCTGACATTCTCCAATACATCTTCTCTCATCTGTCTTGTCTAGCACAATGCTCTGAAATATTAAGCACTCAATATATGCTCATTTGCCAATAAATGCCATTTCTTCCACAATCTAAAAGTGATCAATACAGTCCAAAGTGCCAGAAGACAGACTGGAGTCCCTGGTACATCCTGAGCTCCTCAGAGCTGCTGTTAGGAATGGTGCAGAGGGGATTTCAATGCTGAACAAGAAGTTCAACTAAGGTAGCCTGTGGTGGCAAATTCCTGCTGCCATCATGGCCAAAGAGGGCATCCCAAGCTTTGTGACCCAGTGGCATGGTGGAGAGGGCACCGAGACATGGGCAGGCTGTGGCCTCTAGAGAGAGCCTCTGGGGCTGGCAGGGTAGGGTGAAGTGCTAAGGGCAAAGACGATTCCAGGACACAGCAGCTCCTGTTGTTTCTTGTGACAACCTGGAGACCAAATGGCCCTGATGATTAGAGAGAGATGGAAGGACCTCAAGCACAGGCTTAGGAAACATACCCAGCTGCTCGCTCTGAGTAACCTTGACAGATCAGACCCACAGGCCACTCCTGGCAATGCCCAGGTCATGGCATGATCCTGGGCCAGGCAGTAACCTCTGAGTCTGACTTCTTGACAGGTAGCTCAGAATCAAATCACACAGTGGAGGCCAAAGCCCTCAATTAGCTGTAAAGGACTGGACTCAAATTCTCAAATAGGAACTTCCCCTGGTGGCCCACTCTCCTGTCCTTCCCACTCTGAGACAATGGAGTTTGAGACCTGTGGATTCATGAAAAAAAAATTGGATAAAAAACCTAAAAGGATAAAAAGATAAAAGGTTAAAAAAGGATAAAAAAGAAGTTGGGAAAAGTGCAGACTGGAAGTGAGTTCAACATTGAAGGGGCCTGACCCCCAAAGGCCATGGGAGCATCAGAGTCATTGTTCCCATCTGGCCCAGGCCCGTGCGGTGCCCTGAACCCCAAGCCCAGATGGAAATCCTGTTCACAGGACCCATGGCACAAAGGACGGACAAACCTCCTGCCTTAAGAGGAGAGACATGGGGGAGGAGCTGCTCCAGCAGGAAACATGGGATAGAGGAACAATAGCGGGGTTTCTTCGGTCCCTGTTTTCTTTGGCCTCTTAGCTGCCACCAGGCACACAGCCTGCCCCTTGGCTTTCCTCCAGGCGCCTCCCCTCAGCGCCTGCCTGAGGGACTGCCTGACGGACTGCCTGAGGAGCACCTGTGCTCTCCCTCTGCTGGACCCTGTGGCTTAGCTCTGCGCACAGCCCTCAGGGGCTTTTTATGATACTGTCACAACACAGAGGAAACTTTACTAAGCCTTATTCTGGGCCAGGCGCTGTGTAAAGTGCTTCCCAAGGACATGTCATTGGCGGGGGTGGGGGGTGAAGGGAGGGATCTCTTTAGTATAACTACTCTCCTGAGATCCAATGGTGCAACCCCCACGTCTCCAAGTCCTGGAGGGCCCTACAGCCTCATTCCCCAAATGCCTAACCAGGGAATGGAAGAGGGCGGGGCAGGAGGGACTGTGGCGAGGAGCTGGGGGCTCTGACAGGAGTGGGAACTGGGAAGAAGTGTTAGCCAGTCCAGCAGCGGGAGGGCTTGACTTCAGGGGGATGGAGGAAGACCACATGTAGGACAGACATGGCAAATGAGGTAGAGACAGACAGAAATGAAGGTCACAGAAATTAAGAGGCGGAGGAAAGGTCAAATAGGAGATAGAAACTGAGAGATGAATAGAGACTGAAACAGAGACTGAGGCTAAGATTGTAAAGGAAAGAAGAGAAAAACAGAACTTGAAAAGAAAGGGAGGGAGAGGCAGAGCCTAAGAGGGACCAGACTGAAATGAGAGAGGTAGGGAGACTGACAGAGAGGACCAGACTGACAGAGGGAGAAGGACAGGGAGACTGAAGAGACAGCCCGAAAGGACTGAAGGAGAAAAAGGAGAGGTGGAGAGACTGCGAGAAGGGGAGAAGACTGGTTTCAAGGAAGAGAAGAGTAAGGAGGCTGAGGGGAGGCAGAGAAGGAGAACCTGAGGTCCAGAGTCGGGGGCTTCTCCCAGGAAGGCCAGAGAGGTCCGGCTGGGAAAAGGGCGGTCGGTGGAGCGCCTGCGCCCTCCCGGCTCCCCACTCCCAGGGCCTCTTGCCTGACCCAAAGCAAAACCGGACCCGGTCATGCCCTCTCCCATCCAAGGGCAAAGTGGACCCCCGGCCCCCACTCCCTCCGGGACTCGCTGGGATCCCACGGTGGAAGAGCGGTGCTGCTGGAGGGGCTGGGACGGCTGTCATGGGGAGGGCGCCGTCCAGGGTCCGCCGCCCGCTCTCGGGCCGCCCCGCCACTGGGCGTCGCGGCTTGACAGGCGCGGGGCCCGCTTTTCCCCATACGCCCCTGCTCCAAGCCCGGAGGCCAGCTTGGCCCCGGCCGCGGAGAGGCCGCGACGGCTGGACCTCCCCGCCCGGCCCAGCCCGGCCGCCCGCCCCCGCCCCCGGCGGGCGGCGAGCTGAGCAGCGCCGTGCTCAGGGAATCGCCTCACTGCCGCCCTGCCCGCCGAGGCCGGGTCAGGATGCCCGGGTCGCCGAGGTGAAGAAGGAGCTGGACCCAGGTCCGAAGGGAGGAAAAGGGCAAGGCCTCGCGCAGAGATGAAGGCCCGGCGGAGGTAGGCGCCCCGAGGTCGGCAGGACCCGGGAGGCTGGACCGGGCAGGACCTCCCGAAGAGCCGGAGCCAAGCCGCGCGGACAGAGCGCGGGAGGCGCAGGGGGCGCACCATGCGCGGGCCCCCGGCCGCGGGCCAGGGCTACACCGCCGCCTGGGTCTCGTGGCCCGCGCGGGTGCGCTGCTGTCCCGGAGGCGGGACGGGCGCCGGGCCGCGGGCGCGCGGAGCCCCGGGCCACGGCGAGCCCGCGCCGGCCGCAAGCTCCCCTCCTGGCGGGCCGCGCCGGCCCCTGGGCGCGGGAACCGCCCTCGCTCCCCCCGCGCCGGTCCCGCTCCGGGGCGCCCGCCCACTATATAGCGCGCCCCTGCCGGGCCCGCGCCAGGCCACCAGCCACGCAGCGGGCGCCGCAGAGCGCGCCGCGCCCCGGAGACAGCCCCCCGCCCCCAGCGACGCCGCCGCCCCGACGGGCGCCCTCCGCCGCCGCCGCCACCGCGGCCTGGCCCCTGCAGCCACCATGAAGAAGGAGGTGTGCTCCGTGGCCTTCCTCAAGGCCGTGTTCGCCGAATTCCTGGCCACCCTCATCTTCGTCTTCTTGGGACTCGGCTCGGCCCTCAAGTGGCCGTCGGCGCTGCCCTCCGTCCTGCAGATCTCTCTGGCCTTTGGCCTGGCCATAGGCACCCTGGCCCAGGCCCTAGGGCCTGTGAGCGGCGGGCACATCAACCCTGCCATCACACTGGCCCTCTTAGTGGGCAACCAGATCTCCCTGCTGCGGGCTGTCTTCTACGTGGTGGCCCAGCTGGTGGGCGCCATTGCCGGGGCGGGCATTCTCTATGGGCTGGCACCGGTCAATGTCCGGGGCAATCTGGCTGTCAACTCGGTGAGTGCCCTCGGGGCTGGGGGTGGGACAGGGACCTCAGGTGGGCTCCAGACCAGGCCCCCTTACCCCATTTCAAGAATGGGTGTCATAGAGTGGACCAGTGCACACCCTTACCAGGAAGGAGACAGCCTCCCAAAGAAGATGAATCCCCTCCTGCTGCCCCTTCTTTTTCTCACAGGAAACCCCTGCCCTTTCTCCTGTCTCACACCTGACTTCTGCTTTCCTCTTGAGCACCTGACTGTACCTGCCTGCTCTTCAGTGGAATGGTTTCATGGAACCATCAAAGAGAGATGGGTTGTAATCTGGGCTTGGCTGACCCTGGCCTCCCTGGGTCTTATTTTTCTCAGCCATTACATGCGTTGGTCATAACCTACCACAGCAGGTGTCAGGGGGATAATATTTAGAAACCATGCATATGAACTCCATAATGTGGTGCCAGTGCATAGGATCTCTGTTGAATATTGGTTTCTGCCCCTGGCCCCCTGCTGCCTCCTTCTCCTACAGCCCCAGATTTAGCCCCCATGTCCCATGCAAACTGGGTTCATTAATCAAACACAGAGGAGGATTTTCTCAGCCATTGTCAATCTGTGAGTCAGCCCCACCGGAGAGACGGGTTTGAGGTTGGCACCGGCAGCGGGTCAGGCATGGGCGGGAGGCAGGCTGGGAGTACAGCAGACAAACTGGGCATCTGCCCAGAGAAGGGAGTAAATGCCTGCTTGTGGGGTTAGGGACTGGGCAGAACGGTGGACAGGACTGTGTCCAGGAAAAGCTCCCCCCACACTCTGCCCTTTGACCACAGGCCTGTGCTCCGGGCTTTGTGTACACTGTAAAGTACGTAGTCTCTTCGGCAAGTGACCAACTTGATGTGTCATACACGGGGCTTGGTTTCCAGGTGCTCAGGCTATAGGTGTCCTTGGAAACCAAAAGCCTCAACCCCCAAACCCCTGGCCATAGACCCAGAAGGAGGCAGGGGCCCTAACACACCCTCCCCTTGCAGCTCAACAACAACACGACCCCAGGCCAGGCCATGGCGGTGGAGCTGATTCTGACCTTCCAGCTGGCACTCTGCATCTTCTCCTCCACCGACTCCCGCCGCACCAGCCCTATGGGCTCCCCAGCCTTGTCCATAGGCCTCTCTGTCACTCTCGGCCACTTTGTGGGGGTGAGTTGTGCTGCCACTCACCTGGGGTTGTGGGGAACCCCTTAGGGCAAAAAATGGGGCCTAGATCAGAACCCCTTCAGACCAATGAGCCCTGCAGTTAGGGCCTGGAGTGAGGCTGCTCTACTCTGGTCCAGACTTGATCCCCCAAAACATTCTCTAGCCTGAGGAAAGATGGGAATAAGTGGGAATTGGGGTAGGGCCAGGAAGTAAATCCAAGCCGAGGACAGAGATGAGGGGGGTGGTGCAAAGGGACCCGTGGAGGGAGAGGTCACTGGCCTAGGAACTGGAACACTTGAGTTGGAGACCTGGCTGAGCCCCTGAATTGCTGGATGACCCTGGGAGGGTCGGGACTCTGTGAGAGTGGACAAGCACATCACCCTCCTCACCGCCTCCC